TGCCGTCAAGGCTGGTTTTGTGTTGTGTACTCTTTGTAGGTATGCAATAAATGCTTTTGAGATTTGAGAGCAGTGTCATGAGGGATGAATATTCTCAATGCTATGATAATGCTCCGGGCTTGGTACAGAGACTTGGAATCCTATTCAATTTGGGGGCTTGAGGAGGTTTTGGGGAAGATTAGTGAGAGGACAGTTGAGGTGGTAGAGGGGGGCATTCAGGAAAGCGGGAGCAATGGGTGTCCAGGACCAAGTCCAGGGTATACTGAAAGGACAGAAGAAACAGGATAGGGGAAGAGGATTAGTAAGAGACCACCAGGGAAGGTAGGTGAGGGGTTAGGAAAGCTTGGTGTTGGGCTGTTATGTGTGCAACTAATTAAGCTTGGAATGGGGAACCATGGAAGGTGCTTGGGTTTTGAAATGTCTAAGGAGATGAGAACTAAGAACTGGGGGTTGGCGATTGAAAGACTCCCCCCTCATCCTCTGCCATGTCAAAAAAGCAAACATTCTAAAGAGATGAAGGATACAAACCACACTGAGAAAGGTTAAGGGTGAGAGGTAGAAAAATTTAGTCTTTTAATTTGGTTGTCAGTGACTCAGGAGAGGGACAGGACTTGACAATGATTAGGATTAACAGATTTCCCCGGAAAGGAGGCCATATGCATAAGTGAGGAGAAGAGATGAAAGAGGCAAGAAGGAGGGGGGCTGATCAGCAGGGCATGATGTGGCATGAGGCCTTCAGAGCCCTGCTGGAGAGGTTGACCTTAGCAGGAAAGCGGGGGCGGGGGGGAATCTTGTTCTGTCAAGGGGGAGAGAAGGAGTTATGATGGGTCTTGGAGATAGGATCCGTTGATGGAACAGGAGTGACAAGTCACAGTGGAAGCAATGGGGTTTGCCCATTTAGGAGAGTGGGAATATTCAGGAACCCCATGTATGCAGACTGCAATACAGAGTGAGCAAGAGATTGATCATATGTCGTGGGACCCTGAGAAGAGGTTATTGAACATGAAGTCATAGGATATCATGCCTTAATTTTGAATATGAAGACAATCCTTTTTCTCCATATGATAGTTAAAATTAGACATAACTAGCAACTCAACACTCCAGGTCCCATTTCCTGCGTCTCGTCTCCCCACTCCCACTGCAGCCGAATCCCTCCTCAGTCTGGTTCTCTTTCTTCTGGCCAGGTTCTACCTCCCTCGCTTCCTAAACAGGTCTTTCCACGGAGTCTGTGATCCTGTTGATCCTGCAACGAGTAGCTTCCAAACAATGGAGTAAACAACCCAATTCTACTCTGACACCCATCTTCCATTTCTTCCTGAAAATGAACTTGGATTAGTTGAATTGCTTTTCACAATTCAATTCAGTTTCAAGGGCTCTGCAGCCTCTTCAGAATTTCTTGCAAATGTATTTCCATCTACTTGTTTATAAAGGTATTTGTTTCAGAGAGGCAGAGCCTAACATGTTCTCCTTTCTCCATCACACGCACATCTGGGTCACCCCTTGGAGCCACTAATTAGCTTGATCTATTATTTTCTTGTTTGCTTTTAAAAAATACAAATAGAGCTCCCATATTATTCAGAATGCAAAGTTGCTATGATGCATATTTGAAGTTATTATCTGCATTAAAAGCAGAGGTTTAATTTATTTCATCTTTAGGGGTGAAAGGATGTCACACTGTAATTATATTTATATTTTGATATTATTATATAATTATAATTATGTAATTATGTTTTGATATACATTGATTTTCAGGACAGTATACCAGATAATACAAATGCAGAAAAAGGATATTTATAATTTAATGGCAATATTCTTTTTGGCACCTATAGAGACTCCAACTTTGAAAAATTTAATTGAATTGGAAAGAAAATTAAATTAAAAACAAAATACTCAGCATCCTGCTTCCCTACTCCCATGTACCTGCAGGCAGGAGCAAGTCACATGCACATGTGTAATGCACACAATTTGTTTTCTCCTTGAGAAACATGAGTTTTTTCCAGGTATCATGAATGTACCCTTAGAATAGACCCATTCTTCTCGAGCCTGCCTGCTTACTAGCGATTCCTTCGCCCTGAATATGAATCCTCCCATTTTCTCCAGTATGACTGTTGCCCTATTTGACACAAACCAACTTCTCTTACACCTTTCATTCTGAGCTAAAGCTGCCAGGGTTCTCATCTAGATGTGGGAGTGGGGCTCAGCACAAACACCCCACCGGGCTCTCCCGGCCCTGCCCCGGGGTGCGCGGTGCCTACCTGGAAGGCCCAGGATGGTGAAATAGGGCCTGCACTCGGTGAACCCCGAGCTCTGTCTCACGCAGCTCCTCCAGAGCCCTTCGTACTGGAACACGGAGGTGACGGGGTTGTCATACAGGTCCTGGGTGCTCCACATGTCCATCCCGGTGGCCGCGATGCAGCCCGCCAGCCCCAGAATGGACAGGAGGAACGCCACCACTTGGCATGTGGTGGTGGACATGGCACCGGCCCGCCAGCCCTGCCGCCTGCGAGGAGCTGCCACCCACCTGCCGCCGCTGGGAGCTCTTCTAATCAGATGGTTTCCCTAGGCGCTCAGTATTTGCTCACAGTGTTTTCCTTAGATAGCTCAGTTTCACTCTTGGTTCAAGGGCATTATTTTTACATTTGTTAGAGAAGCCGCCCCAAGAGGCACTTGTCTGCGCTTCGCAGGCTGGGTGGTTTCGGGCAGAGCCGTGCCAGGGTGCAGAAGGACTCTCTGCTCCAGGCCCGACCGGCCTCTCTCCAGCTCTGGATCCTGGGAGCGCCGCCTTCTGGAAAAGGCTGATGTGTCCCTACCACTGGGAATGTGACTGGAGACCGCTTTGACAGACCTCTCTTAAGATGGCCCTGGGAAGCACCCACGGTGCTCAGTCTTAAACCAGACTTTTCACATTTTCCCCTCATAACTCACAAACGACTTTTCACTTACATCTTTCCATTTTGATCTTACAGAAATGGGTAGGGCAGGGATCATTATCCCCATTTTTTTTTTTTTTTTTTTTTGGTGAGTCAAGAAAAGTACAGATAAGGGACTTGTTCCCAGTGCCTGGAACCACAGATACTCTAAAAACGGCAGGGGTGGGGCTCCCACCTCAGCTTCCAGTCCAGGACTCTTTCTCTATTTCCATGTGGGGCCGCAGGGGCAGGCAAAATTGTCCCCACTTTTGAGAACAGGAAGCCAAGTCCTAGAGCAATGCTCTTGGTCCACATGCCCTGGAACTGGAATGAGAGTAAGCCAGGGATCCCATTGATTTCCATCTCATGGTTTCACTTGTGCCACAGGAACCACATGAGGACTCTGTAGCTGACACAGAAGGTCCCACAAAGGCCAGAGGAGGAACCAGGGCTGGCTGGGCTGAAGTCTTTGGCGTGGTCACTGAGAGGCTTAGGATCTGCTCCTGACACTGTTCCTAACTTGCTATGTGCTGGGTGGGTTGGGGGCAAACTTCTAAGCCCTTGTAGGAAGTTCTTCATCTACAACAAGTGAGATCTAAACTAGAACACTCCAGAATCTTTTCAGATCTCGTAACACTATCTTCTACATTTTACAGAAAAGTTTCCGTAGAATTGGTCAGAACATTAGGAATTGTATAATCATAGTAAAAAGAGACTTGGCTGAAAATATCAGGGGTTGTGTTTTGTCTATACAACTAAATTTTGCTAGAGAATTGATTGACTGACATGGGGGTCAGGTATGTCTGGCCTCTGAACCCAGAGACTTTTTTTTTGAGATAGAGTCTCACTCTGTTGCCCAGACTGGAGTACAGTGGTGTGACCAGGCTCACTGCAACTTCTGCCTCCCAGGTTCAAGCAATTTTCATGCCTCGGTCTCCAGAGTAGCTGGGACTACACATACACACCACCACACCCGGCTATGTTTGTATTTTTAGTAGAGCCTGAGTTTCACCATGTTGCCCAGGCTGGTCTTGAATTTCTTAGCTCAAGTGATCTGCTTGTCTCAGCTTCCCAAAGTGCTGGGATTACAGGCATGAACCACCATACCTGACCTCCAAAGACATTTTATTTTTATTTTTATTTTTGGGAGAGGGAGTCTCACTCTGTTGACTAGGCTGGGGTGCAGTGGCGTGATATTGGCTCACTGCAACCTCCACCTCCTGGGTTTAAGTGATTCTCCTGCCTCAGCCTCCTGACTAGCTGAGATAACAGGCACTTGCCACCACACCCAACTAATTTTTATATTTTTAGTAGAGATGGGGTTTCACCATGTAAGTCAGACTGGTCTTGAACTCCTGACCTCAAATGATCTGCCCACCTTGGCCTCCAAAAATGCCGGGATTGCAGGTGTGAGCTACCGCGCCTGGCCCTCTGGAGACATTTTAATGAGACTCTCCAAAATCTGGATTTCAAAGCCCTGAAACACAGACACAGATACACACACACGCACACACCCACACACGCACACACGCACACACACACACCACACACATACTCCAATCTTTAACCTTTATAGGTCTTTACAGATTCTCCAGGAAACGAGCCTCTGTGTCTGAACATTTTGTTATCTTGGGTGCACCCAGCCACCACTCCCACAGCGTTATTCCCAGCAAACACAGAATGCAAACAGGGAAGAACTCCTCCTAATTTGAATGGGGGCAGCACTCCCTTTCACTGCACACCCTACTTTAGGTTCTGTGATCAGTGTTTCTAGAGAGTGGATCATGAGCCAGAAAGCCTAAAATAAGAGGCGAAGCAACAGTTACATGATTTACAGTGTAGTAGTGTTGGTGGCTGTGTATCCCTTGAGTTGAGTTAGAAGGCCAGCTCTAAAAGGAGGGAAGGAGACAACTGGAAGTGACACTGGTTTCTGCTGGTTGGCATCGATTCACCAATTAGATTGAAAGATGTTGTTGGAATAATTCAGGAATGATTCTGCCATTGTTTTTGTGGACAGAGTCTATCTTACTTTTATTTCAACGATCAGGCAGCCTTTTTTTTTTTTTTGGTGACCCCTATGTGATTTGAACATTTTAATTCTTATTTTAAAAATTTATTTCATTAAAAAAATGGTTTTACTTTAGGTTCTGGGATACATGTGCAGAACGTGCAGGTTTGTTACATAGGCATACATGTGCCATGGTTGTTTGCTGTACCTATTGACCTGTCATCTAGGTTCTCTCCCTTCACCTCCCCAAACCCCAACAGGCCCCTGTGTATGATGTTCCCTTCCCTGTGTCCATGCTTTCTCATTGTTCAACTCCCTTTTATGAGTGAGAACATGTGGTGTACGGTTTTCTGTTCCTGTGTTAGTTTGCTGAGGATGATGGCTTCCAGCTTCATCCATGTCCCTGCAAAAGACGTGATCTCATTCCATTTTATGACTGCATAGTATTCCATGGTGTACATGTACCACATTTTCATTATGCCTATCATTGATGGGCATTTGGGTTGGTTCCATATCTTTGCTATTATAAATGGTGCTGCAATAAACAGACATGCGCATGTGTCTTTATAGTAGAATGGTTTATATTCCTTTGGATATATACCCAGTAATGGGATCACTGGGTCAAATGGTATCTTTTTATTCTTAAAAAGCTCTATCAATTTGATTTTCAGATGTTCAATTTATGACATTTGTCTAATCCTCCCCCTACAATACATATACATTTGTTATAATACCACCAAAAACAGATTGAAGATGAAAAAATAAAAAAATAGTTAATGAAAGTTATCTATTTTTCATCTATGGCTGTTCCTTCCCCAGTTTCCCTATGCAAATGTTTTCATGCAGAGTTTCAAAACAGTAAAAAATGTTACTCAGGTAGTAATGAATTAAGCTTTCTTTCTTGGCTGAAATGGTGACAATGACACTTTTTTGAAAGTGGAGAAAAGTTAATTTTAAAGAATAAACTAAGGCTATCTCTACCTAGGCAGAATACTGAATGAGAAGAGGGAAATTGTAAGTCTACACACTTCTTCTGTGTGAAATAAATGTTGACGTGTTTTAAAACACCTGGAAGATAGGATTTTTCACTTCCTGGTAAGTTTTCTGGGCTCTGTGCAGACTACTATTTTAACCGTATCTGTCCAAAAATGAATGGGGGTCTGCAGAGAAAAATATGACTTTCTAATTTATGGCAACAGGCTTCATTGAAACATATCAATGTATCTCTACCAGATAAGTCTGGGTCTAATTCTGCTTAACAATAATGGGGTTGGTACAACTTTGTTTAATCACGTTTAAAATGAGCTGCATTTTTTGCTGGCTTTCGAGGGGAAATCATCCATTCATTCAGGTTTAAATACGGCTCTGGCGGTGTCATTTCAGGTTGTAAGTTTCCAGGAGCTTATATTATTTTACTGACATTGGATAAAACATTTCCACCACTTTTTATAACACTGTCTATGGTAATTAGGCAAAAATGGTGGCATAAATAGCAATAGAAAATATTATAACTAGGAATTAGGAAGAAGTAAAATGAATATACTAGTGAGAAAAATAATTGACACATCTATTAATGTTTTCTTCAAAATTATTACCACATTATATATCCCTAATTTCTAATTTCACCTTTTGGTGTTCATAACAGAAAATTTGGAGAGAATTGAACAAATTGCTCACAATTTTAAACCCTAGACAAAATGTTTGGCATACTTCCTTCTTACCAATTCTCTGCATGTATTTTTTACATAATTAAAGGATAATGTAGCTTGATGTTTTGCTCTTTTCACTTAACTGTATTAATTTCACCAAAGCTCTTATAAACATCATTTAATATGAGTGCCTTAGTATTTCATTATATAGAAGTGCTATTATTCATCTATTTTTATATAGTTAGATTGTACCTCCTCCCATTTTTTTTTGAATAAATGGCAACATTATGATGAACATCTTACATATAACTCTTTGTCAGCATTTCTGATTACTCTTTTAGGATAGATTCCTAGGAGTGAAATTACGTTGTCTAATACTGTGAAGTTTTGAAAAATATATTTTTTTACACACAACCAGATTGCTTTCTATGAATTTTATCCTAACAACAGTGTTTGAAAGTTCTTATCTCTTTACATTCTAGTCTACATTGTGAATTTGGTAAGTTATATATGTATATGATTGCTTGTTTTAACTTGCATCTCTTTAATTACTGAGTTTGAGCCTTTTTCTTTTTTTTTTTAAATGTGAGTTCATGTCCTTTGTAGGAACATGGATGAAGCTGGAAACCATCATTCTCAGCAAACTAACATAGGAACAGAAAATCAAACACTGCATGTTCTCAATCGTAAGTGGGAGTTGAATAATGAGGACATATGGGCACAGGGAGGGGAACATGACACACTGGGGGCTGTCAGGGGGTGGTGAGCGAGGGGAAAGATAGCATTAGGAGAAATACCTAATGTAGATGACGGGTTCATAGGTGCAGTGAACCACCATCGCACATGTGTACATAACAAACCTGTACGTTCTGTACATGTATCCCAGAACTTAAAGTATAATAATAATTTAAAAACTCATCATCAAAAATAGAAAAGAAAAAAAACCCAACAAATATGTATGAAACATTTAGTTCTTTTCTTTTCTTGAATTGTCAGTTTGTATTCCTTCCTCATTGATTTGCTAGAATTTTAGCACTTTTTCTATCAGTTTGAGACATGAATTTGTTAAGGATTTTAATACATTGCTGTAATTACTAAAAATATCTTTTCCCATTGATTATTTGCTTTTAAATTCCATTCATGATTTAGAAAAAAAAATATATTTTATGTTCTTCCTGGTGCCTGGTACATAAAGTATGCTTAATAAATATTTGTTGAATGATATAGTCAAATAAAATTACTTTTTCTTTGTGTTTTCCTCCACTATTTCTATGCTTAGAGAATTATTTTCCATTTAAAAGATGGTTATTCTATAATTATTTTGTTATTTAAAAATATTTAAAATTATCTTATATTTTAAAATGATTAGGATCCATTTTGGTATATTCGTTAGTTATACTGTAATTACTTTTTCCTTCCAAAAATGCTAGTCAGTAACTTCTGCAGCATTAACTAAATAACCTTCCTTTTTCTTCTTTGCTTTGTAAAACCTCCTCTATCTTATATTAAGCTCACATATATATCTTTCTGATTTTAGATTTTGTTCCATTAATGTTTGTCCATCTTTATGCCAAAGCATACTTTTAATTATCAAAACCTTAAAATTTTGTTGAATATGTGGCAATGTTAGCCCATCACTTCTTTATTATTCTTAAAAAAAAAAACTTTTGTTTTTCATCTGCTTCTTCTTATACATATACACTTTGTCAAGTTCCCATGGGGAAGCTCTTACTGGTATTGTGATAAGAATTCTCGTAAAGGAGAAGAGCTCAGGCTTTGAAGAAAGTTCATATGGTTTGAATCTTCATCTTGCTATTTACTGCTACAGTGGCATTAGGCAAATACTTTAACTTCTTTATGCCTGTTTCCTCATCTATAAAATGGAGATAACACTAGTACTTACTTCATAGGGTAGTGGCAAAGATTAAAGTACGTATACGTAATTTATCTAAATGTTTTTTTGAGACGGAGTCTTACTCTATCATCCAGGCTGAGTGCAGTGGTACAGCCTCAGCCACTGCAACCTCCATCTCCTGGGTTCAAGCGATTCTCTTGCCTCAGCCTCCTGAGTAGCGGGACTACAGGCGTGTGCCACCAAGGCCAGTTTTTTGTTTTTTGTATTTTTAGTAGAGACGAGGTTTCACCATGTTGGTAAGGCTGGTCTTGAACTCCTGACCTCCAATTAGTCAGGATTAGACCCCACATTAACCTTCTTCTCCAACCAAGGTCATTCTCTCATTGCCCCTGAGTAAGACTTGGGCGGTGGCACCCTCATGGCTTTGCCCATGCTGTTTTTCCTTTCTGTATTGCTGCCATCTCCAAATCTTGACTCCTTTTCACAAGACACTTGTGGTTTTTCCACCTGGATGGAGTCTTGGAGTTTCACCCTCCTCTCCTGCGGCACTGGCCCTCTGTCCCCCTCACTTGGCATATTGTCATACCCAGCCCGGTGCACTCTTATACTTTTGGAAATAGAAGGCGCACAGATTCCTGAGGTTATAGGAAGCTCTCCATAAATCGATGTTGAATGTATAAAAGAATAAATCACTGTATGATTCAAGTCTTCTCTTGTTACCTTTTTTGTGCGTCTAAGTCTTGACCCTGCAGTCAAATGGCAAATTCCTGGGGGGAGAAAGCCCCATAATTTCAATTTCTGATCCTCTTTACATTGTCACCTTAGGTCACCTTAGATCAATGCCTCTCTCAAGACTTCAATGTGTATTTATGGAAGAAACAAGCAAAAATAAAAATGACAATTTTATTCATTGTCTTACTCTCTTATCTGAATGAAAGACATTTTTAACATTCTCAGAATATAAATATCTTGTAAAAATCAAAGTATATTACAACCTGATTATAGACACTAGCTACCTAAATTTTGATATTATAATCAAAACATGATTCACATGATCAACAGAGCTATGAACATAAAACTTTTCTGTAAATTTTTCTGTCATAATAAAAACAAGCAGTGATTCTAGACCAAAAAAAAAAAAATTCTCTACTCTTGTGACTTGAATTTTTCTTCTAGTTAAAATGACCACTGTACTAAGCAAATAAACACAATCCTTGTATAGTGAATATGCTAGTCTGTGGAAGGGACACAGCAGCCTGCAACACCTTTCCCTGCATGGCAGTGCTCATTTACCACAGCAGAAGCCCCTGTGCAGAGAGCACCCTGAGTCTGGTTCCTTATAGCCAATACTTTCTGGAGGTCAGGAACCTGGAGCCCCAGAGCAGGGGCCCATCGACGTCCCAGAGAAACACAGCCACCTAATTCTTTTTCTTTGCCTTTTTCCTCTGCCCCATTTCTATTGCTGCTGCTTACTTAGGTGTCCCTGGAGGCTGAGCCCAGGCACAAAGACGCCTGAAGACGGAACTCTATTCAGGAGGTAGGCAGTCCCCAACTCAGAGAGGGGAAATCCTGGGGCTGAAGGAAGAAAGTGCCCGAAGTCTGGGCTTCCGAGTCCTGTTTCTGTGGGTAATTGAGACTATGCCATTGCTAGCATACGAGTTAATGAAAATATATGTTCCTTTGGGATAATTGGCCACCATCCACTTAGGGGACAAGGAGCTCAGACAGCTCCAGAACGTTCCTTTCCCTCAGGTTCCCGTCCTCCCATTCCACCCTGGTGCTGGTGGCTGTTGCCCCTGTCAAACATGAATCGCGGTTACTCCCTTTCCAGCAGTCCCTGTCGTGGTGCCCAGGCAGAGACTGCAGTTTCCTCTCCACCTCCAATCTCTCCCTCCAGCCAGCCAGGCACCTGGCCCTTACCTGGCAGCCCCAGCAGGGTGAAGTAGCCCCGGCACTCAGTGAAGCCGGAGCTCTCTCGGACACAGGAGCGCCACAGCCCCTGGTAGTTGAATACAGCTGTCACGGGGTTGTTGTACAAGTCTTGGGTGCTCCATTGGTCCATGCAGGTGGCAGCAATGATGCCCGCAATCCCAATCAGTGAAACCACGAACCCCAAGCCCTGGCAGGCAGTCACGGCCATGGTGCCGCACAGTGTTGACACAGAGCCACACGACAAGTGGACAGCGCAGTTCTGAGACTGCTGAGCGTAGGGATGGAGTTTTCTCTGAGAGGCTGGTGCACACGTCAGGAGCGGGCCATGTAATGGAGGCGGTTACTCACCAGTGCCCTGGGCTTGCCCTACTCCATTATCTAAGCGAGATAATTCCCACAACGTGGTACCAAGAGCCATTTGTTTTCCGCCATATGTACACTCGACTCACTGTTTACCTTTTGAAGGAGTTTCTTTCCTGATTAACCAGGCTCCCCTCTGTAGAGGGTAAAGTAAGTACAGAGGTGGTTGCCTGGGAGGCACTGCAGATTGGTCAGGCAGGGCTTCCAGTAGCTAAGCCACAAAACACTTGGAGATATAAAGGCTTCATCCATGTGGCCCTGGGGACTGAGATACATGCCACCACCTTAGCTAAAAAACTGAGGCAAGGCCGGTTATGAGGCATAATAAAGTATAGTTGATTCTCATTAATCATGGTAGTTATATACTATAAAGTCATAAAGAACACTGAATTAGCAAATACTGAATCATTGCCCATAGGGGAAATGCAGGGTCAGGCTCCTGCAAGCCTCTGGTCTCAACATTTTCATCATCAGTAGATAACCTTATTTTACATGTATTTCTGTTTAAAAACAGCTTCTTTAATATAAATTGTTGGTTCATTAGCATTGAACTCACAGCCAACAGCATTGAAATTCATGTCTGAATGAAGCTTATCTAACACACATATTTACTTCATAAGGCACAGCACAGCCTCCTTGCGCTTCTAAACAGTAATCAGTGCTTCTGTACTGTGCTTGGGGGCCATTTGAAACAGTGAAATCAACAAAAAGCGCAAAAATGTGAAAAATGTGGCGGTAAACATACTTCAAAGAGGACGCTTGTTTATAGTATGAGAGCTGAAAAAAGAAGGCAGATTCACCTTTTTGAACCTCAGCTGGGAACATGCAACTTGGGCAATGCAAATTTTTCACCCTTGGCACACGTCATTATGATTGCAGCAGTACCATAATTTGCACAGTACTGTACAGCAGTGCAGAGTATTGATTTTGGAGTTAACATAAGTTTTAGCAAATTAAAAAATATGGTACACATGGTTAATGAGAATTGGCTATAG